TCCAAGTTCCTCCTGGACCTGTCATCTTTAAGGGACACAGGCTGTGCATATCCCTCCCTTCTGTGTCACATGAAGACCAAACACAAATAATTTCTTCTTGTAGCTGTATGTATGAAGACCATCCAACCACCAATGTGGCTTTCTTTTACTGCCTGATGGACAAAAAAATAGAAACAATGTTTAGTCATCACCACAAATAGTGTGGGAGGTCCCTTCCATTCAGCACAATACTTAAATTAACCTTCCTCTGAAGGTATTTTGCGTTAGTGTGAGTGATATGAACTTCATATCCTCTTCCTACTTCTGAGGATTGCAAGTTTCAGAATAGATGTGGTAAGTTATTTCAGTACAATAGCATCTTGTGCTCTAAGAACAAATTTGAAACTCAAGTATAACACTGTGCTTAGGTTACAAATATGAAATACCTTACATGTTGTCCGATAAATGTTCTGTATAAACTGTTGACCCTGATTCACAGTGCACTTTCTTATACTAAAATATAACAACTTACTTAATAAAAGAATCAAATAACCAAATAACCAACATGAAAGAACATCTTAAAATCAAATTCCATAGTCTGCAAACTCCAAGACATTCAATCTGTGCTGTTGTGAAGGTCTGAACAATGTGTTTTAAGATCTTTGTAGTGGACTTCTCTCACTGGAACAAAAGAAGCAATGGTAATCCTTTTGGGATTAAGTGGAAGGAGAGATCCCATATATGTTGCTAGAGGAACTGTTTGTGTACGAGAAGTAGAGTTGAGGAGGAACAGCATTCCAAGGTTTCCTTTTGGCTTTGGGAAGGAACTGAAACCTTGTGATCAAAGCAGCGGCTGCTGGAGAAGAATCGTGTATGGATCTGACCCTCTTGCAATCAACAGTTTAGACAGCAGCTCTGATATGTGCTGGAGATGTGAGATTTGTCTACAGTAGTTGTCAGGCAGAAGCTTAAACTTTTCTTCATGCCATTTCACCTGGTTATCCACATGGAGCAACAGTGAATGCCATTGGAGTCCTCTCATTCTGGTCAAGTTCCTTCTACCCCTCATAGCCACTAGCTGTTCTTGCAGCCACTTTGCACAGCAGGGTGCAAATGGCCAGTGCCTGAGTCTGTGCTGCTCTCCTGCATAGCTTGTTGTCAAGAAGTTATACGGAATTTTATAACTTGTTTCACTCTTAACACTTCATTTTCCTCAATGGTTATTCTTAATTTCCAGCACACCCATTACCTCATCCCAGCTGCTATAGGCTGGCTCCCACTTCTTGTCCTTCTGTATGTACCATAATGGGGTGGCTGGCCTTGGGGTTTTTTTTTTGTTTTCTTGAAGAAAAATTGTGTTCCAGTAAAATATCTGTGTCTGTCTTTCTTCATGCATCAATAACCTCTACAAGTGCACTGATGTGCTTAATATCTTGGGGGCTTCTCAGTTTTATCTGGTCAAGTTTTTCTTAGGAGATAAAACCCACCATTTCATTTTGGTCTGGTGGAACCTTCCCCTGTGATTATCAGCAACTGCTGGAGGCATTTTGATGTCCTCTGTTCTGTGTGGAGTATTTTCCTTCTAAGAAACCCTGGGCATTTTCACTTGACTGATTTCTTTCCCAGTGCAGAGGCCCATGACATGTCTTGTTTTTCTGTTTATTTACCTATGGTGCATTGTACTCTGGAGATTTTTTTTCTCTATTTATTTATTTATTTATTTATTTGGCTATTAGGGGTTTTTTTGCCTTTTTTTTTTTTTTTTTTTAACTAAAATTTTCAAGTTATTTATAGGGTATTTTGGGGTTAAACAGGAGACAGTAGGGCTCTTACAGCATGCAGTAGAAAGAAGATATTTATTTTTTAACTTTTTTGGGGTTGCACAGCGTTTCCACAGTTGCCTGCAATGGTAGTGTACAGAACTCAGTGACCAAAGTGTTTCTTTCCAGTCTAGGCTTTCTAACTCTTCTTTCCAAACTGAAGAATCAGCACTTGCATTGCCAGTATAGCAGAAAACCTGACCTGTTCCAGCCAAAATGTGGAATAGCTAAAAAAATCATGTATACCAAAGAGCTTTGGGGTTTGGGTTGTCTTTTTTTTTGTTTTGGTTTTGGGTTTTTTTGTTCTGTTTGTTTGTTTGTTAGTTTTTTTGTTTTGTTTGTTTGTTTGTTTTGGGGTTTTTTTGAGGGGGGGCTGTTTATGTCTGTTCTGCTGGTTGGAGACTAAGTACCTGTGACAGGATGCAGAGAGCCTACTTGTTTTCTCCAAACGAGGGAGTTAGCTCTCAGTATAGATTTTGCATGGATGCACAAAGTAAAAAATAAGGGCAGTCTGGTTGTCAGGAGGCAGGAAACTAGAAAAACTGCTTATTGTTTGAAGGGAAGAGTACAGGATTTCACAGTAGGGTGCTTAGGCAGGTTTCTAGCCCAAGGTGTGTGTAGTTGCGTATATTTCCATACATCAGCTGTTTTAGTTTTGGCTTCCTTGCAAGAAAAATTTATGCTGCAGGATGTTGGAAAGTAAGCCTTGCTGCAGAACATTACCAGGTGCAGGATGACTGCTCTCTGCTGAAGAGCCAGTTGTTTTATCTGCATCATCTATCCTTTTAGCAGCTGTATTTCTGGATTCAGTTCTGGACTTCATTTGTCATGAACCACGAGTTCTAGACAACATTATGGGAAGTTCTTAACCACATGAAAAGCTGAAACAAACATTTTTCTGGTAAAGCATCAGAAATTGAACTAAAGCAACTATTGTGGAGTGGCAAGAAGTCTACTGTAGGTCTGAAGTTATTTCAGTTGTTGCTTTAGATACTCATTCTTGGGAGTTCATCTTCAGATGCTGTTCAGTTTTATTCATCCACCCAGTAAACTCCATTGGTCACAGGGACTGCTGTAGCAGCCCAGTGTTTCTGCTTGGTGCTAAAGCTGTAACCAGATGTTTTTCACAGTTTGCATGGCACACCACATGCTTCTTCTGAAAGAGCTATTACCCTCTCCTCAAGTCCTCTCTACACATGGAAGTTTATCAAAACAGCTGTTGCTAAATAATGGTATCAAAATGAACACCTGTATTCCAGAATTTTACTTGACTTAGTAGAGCAGGTATTTCAGACATGTTCTTTGTAGCCTTTTACCACGTGGTACACAAGGCAGAGGAAGACACGGTCCCCATTTTGAACTTCTGTTTCCTTGGTGCTGTCAGTCTTGCTGTCTTCATCAACAGATTCACTGATGATTTATGAAGGGAAAAACAAAACAAAACAAAACCCTGGAGTGCAGACCTAGAAAAATCTGATAGAAAAGTATGTTGTGAAAGAGCAGTTATGTGGGAAACATAAAATGTGAGGTTTTTCTATTTCTTCTGCTAAAAAACATCAAGTCATTACTATCATGCCAAGCCAAAACTGAAAAAGAACCCCACAATTTCAATTTATTTCTGCAAACAGTACGGTAAAACTGCAACATTCTCATGACAATACTAACCATTGAAATGCTACTATTCTTGAGTTTTGTCCAGACCTTATCATTCTCATGTCACATGCAAACAATCATATTTAATAGATCCCCTACTTATGAAAGCTATTTTCGGATAAAGTACAGGAAAACTCTATAGACTGTGTTTTGCTGTTTGAAGTAGCCACTCTGTTGTTTAAGTGTTCAAAATGTTGAATTGCTTAGTTTTGGAAGGCTGGATGCCAGGGATTGTAAAGAAGGTCTGCCTTTCAGAGTCCTCCCTTACACCATTTCTGAAACTAGGGTGGATGAACTACATGTAAGAGCATGCACTCAGCCATGTAGGAACAGAAAAAGAAAAAAAAAAAAAGCTGTGCTTAAAGATACCAGATTAAAGTATTCTGCCTATTATCTTGTTATCATCCAAAGAATTTGGATTCTATAATCCTATATAATATAATTCTATATAAAATCCTATCTGGAAAACCCACTCCAAAAATATACTCCATACTAGATCAAACTGTATTATCTGGTTTAAAAAAAAAAAAAAAAAAAAACACAGGCCAAATACAAAACCTACATTTGAATAGCTATTTTAGTTATCAAATAATTGAGAATACTTTTAGACGGGGTGTACACTAAGTTGAAATTATATTAACCCAGATTTGTGAGGTTTAAGTTCAACTTTATTTGTACCCTGGCTTGATTTATTTTTACTTTGTCTTTACAACTAATTCCTTTTCTCATCCCATCTGCAGCACGCCTTGCTTGAAGCAGAGTTTGTTTTGTTGATGGACATAAATACTTGAATCTGTCTGAGGGGGATTTGGTGGCTCTGGGAATTGGTAATAGACTGTAGAGCATTTCACCTCAAGGGTCACTAGTTCACATCCGTATCAGGTCAATAGTGGCAGAAAGTCATTATGCATCTGGCTGGCATCTGCTTGTTGACCATTGCCAAATCATTTAATAATCTCTGTCCAATTCCACGTGGCCCGGTGCTTTCTGCCCTCCCCACAGCAGCGGGCTGCAGCAGACCTCCTCGGGCAGCCTCTTGTCACCGGCTCCCACAGGAGGACGCCAATCCCCCGTTTTGAGGACCCCCCTTCATCCTCCAGGCGCCTCGGAGCAGGCTCGCTCAGGGACCAGCACCTCCCAGAGTCTCAGCAGCTCCCCTAGAC